CAGACAAATGGATCGGTGTAAAAGAATAGAGAGCCCAGAAATAAACCCACAAACTTTTGGTCAATTCATCTTTGACAAAGCAGGCAAGAACATACAATGTAGTAAAGACATTCTCTTCAGCAAATGGTGTTGGGAAAACTGGACAGAAGCATGTAAATCAATGAAGTTAGAATATTCCCTCACACCATACACAGAAATAAACTCAAAATGGCATAAAGACTGTTTTTAAACATAAGACAAGACGCTATAAACCTCTTAGAAGAAAACGTAGACAGAACATTCTCTGACATAAATCTTAGCAGTGTTCTCCTAGGGAAGTCTACCCAGGCAATAGAAATAAAAGTAAAAATAAACAAATGGGACCTAATGAAACTTATAAGCTTATCCACAGCAAAGGAAATCATAAGCAAAACAAAACAACAGCCTACAGAATGGGAGAAAATATTTGCAAAAGATGAGACTGACAAGGGCTTAATTTCCAGAATATATAAATAGCTCATACAACTTAATAACAACCAATCCAAAAATGGGCAGAAGACCTAAACAAGCAATTCTCCAATGAAGACATACAAATGGCCAATAGACACATGAAAAAATGCTCAATATTGCTAATTATCAGAGAAATGCAATTCAAAACTACAGTGAGATATCACCTCACACCAGTCAGAATGGCCATCATTCAAAAGTCCACAAATGATAAATGCTAGAGAGGGTGTGGTTAAAAGGGAACCTCCTACACTGTTGATGGGAATATAGTTTGGTGCAGTCATTATGGAAAACAGTTGGAGATTCCTCACAAAAGTAATAGACTTACCTTATGACCCAACAATCCCACTCCTGGGCACACATCTGGAGGGAACTCTAATTCAAAAGACACCTGCACCCCAGTGTTCACAGCAGCACTATACACCAAAGCCAAGACATGGAAACAGCCTAAATGTCCATCAACAGATGACTGGATAGAGAAAATATGGTATATTTATACAATGGAATACTACTCAGCCATAAAAAAGAATGAAATAGTGCCACATGCAGCTAAATGGATGGACCTAGAGATTGTCATTCTAAGCGAAGCAAGCCAGAAAGAGAAAGAAAAATACCATATGATATCACTTATATGTGGAATCAAAAAAAAAAGATAGATGAACTTATTTACAAAACAGAAAAAGACTCACAGACAGAAAACAAAGTTATGGTTACTGGGGGTTTGAGGGTGGGAAAGGATAAATTGGGAGTTTGAGATTTGCAGATGTTAACTACTGTGTATAAAATAGACAGAAAACAAGTTTCTTCTGTAGAGCACAGGGGATTATATTCAATATCTTGTAGTAACCTATAATGAAAAGGAATATGAAAAAGAATATACGTGTGTACATGTATGACTGAAACATGATGCTGTGCACCAGAAATTGATACAGCATTGCAAACTGACTATACATCAATTAAATATATATATTTTAAAAATCTTGCAAAAGACAATCAGAATTAAATAAGACTAGAAAGGCCAGAGAAGAAGAGCAGGCTATAGCCTGATCTGCATAGACAGGTTCGGGTTTCTAGACTTGAGTTGGAAGATCTTGTTGGGGCGGAGACACAACACTCCCTAAGAGGGTCTCATTCAGAAAGAGGAGACACACCTGCTCCCCAGAGGAGTTTTTTCTAATATTAAGTAAAAATAAAAATAGAAGAAAAATCTCCTGGAAAACTTCACATAGTGAATGATATGGAATTCTCAGTCTCCTGACAACAGATGATGCTTGAACAGATTTTTCTTGGCTATTTCTGTACCACCACGGTCTAGTTTTTGAGGTTCTTTTTTGAACAATTGTAACTGTTTTAAACATCAAGTTTTTATAACTTGTATTCTTCCTTAGAGACCTTACAACTAAAAGAACATTTATTATCTTGTAATTACCTTAGAATATGTCTAAAAGACATGAAGTTTTAGTGATGTGACGTCGCCTATATTTTAAACATTTTGCTTCATGAGCTTTGGAAGTATTCCACCGTAACTAATAGATTCCCATCTGTAATTAAAAAACAAGAAAACGAAAAGGACAAGACAGTGGAACCGTCTACAAGGATGACGTACTGGTGAAACGAGTCACCACAGAGGAAGTAAGCAGCTACTCTTCATTACTTTCAGTTTTCTGGTCACGTTTCCCCAAATACAGCACGATCTTTCACCAAGGATGAAGATACCTTTTAATTTTGTTAGCCTACTCGTTTTTTACCGTTTCATCGATACTGTCTGAAATTCCGAATTTTTCATTTTCTGCCCCTGGTAACAAAGAGAAGGAGATGGTCAGAATAAAATGCTTCACGGGGTAAAAGGAACCAGCAGGTGAACATAACGAGGCAGCAGCACTCTGTGCTCCAGCAGTGTTGGTGGAATCGATGGTGTAAGTGGTGCCTGAGACTGAGTTTTAGGCGATCATATCGTAGATCAGTGTGGTGAAATCCGACCATTCATAAGCAGAAGGTACATTTCCAAGGACAGAAAGGAAGAAATGGCATTCCCAGCCATTCCACAGAAAAACGCCACCCAGTGTCTTGTGAGCTTAGAATTTGCTCATGATTCCCTCATCTTCTTTGATGGTCTTGCAACAGAATTTACTTCGTATGATTTGTAATTGTATCAGTGGTGAAAGCAGTTTGCCCAGAGGTGGTTAGAAGGAAGTAAATGATGTAGTGAGAATAATGGTTGAATTGGTCTTTTTGATTACTGCTTATAAATCTAAGTGAGTATGTCACAGCATTTCTGGGGCCAGGGTATGGCTGTCCTTCACAAGACTGTGAGCTGTCAGAGCGCAGCCGTGCGTTGTGCGTGAGCAGGAGGCGGGGCTTTAGTGGTCAGTTGGGAGCTGTCGGAGCTGGGTTTGCGGGACGGGGCCCCCTTGTCTGTGGGCTCCACGTCCGCTAACCCCCTGTGTGACCCCCAGGTCGACGCTGTGGCGCTTCTCACAGTCGTCCCAGGTGTGTGCGCGCAGGGAGCGACACACGCCTTCGGGCCTCACTCCGCACACAGGTGTCCCTCCCACCCTCTCCAGGTTGTTGCATTTTTGTCACGAAGCATTGACGTTCTTGCTGTGTGCTGACTGGTTGGACGGCCTCCAGGTTTCGAGCTGCCTGGGGCCCTGGTGCAGGAGGCCTGGGGTTGGCCTCGTGGAGAAAGCGCGGTGGGAGAGCTTCGTGGACAGGCGCCAGTTACAGCGCTGTGGCCACCAGTTCACGTCAGAGGATCCGCGGCGGGCGTATGTTGCATAAGGCGTCTGTAACCAGAAACACACGTAAAACAAGGTTACGTGTTGATCTGCTTACCCGTGCGTGGTGAGAAATGCAGTGACAGAGGACTCACAGCTCTGTAGGACAGAAACGGCACAGGGGTCAGAATTGCCTGTTCACAAGGTGAATGTGTTCTCTCATCAGTTGCTTTCAAAGAATTGCCGTTTTCAGGCAGTACATACTTTCAAGGCCAAGAAAACAGGAATAAAATTTTGGGTTTGTTATTTTAAAATTCTTACTGAAACTTTCTAATATATTTCTTATCATTTTCCCTTTATTCTTGAGTAATGATGTCACAAAATTACTTAAAAATATTTTTGAGAAACTTAAAGGTTCATTTGACCCAAAAATGGCTGATTTTGTGTTCCGTGGGTTATTAAACACTCATGACATAAAGCAGTTTACTGGAGGCAGTTCACCTGGGGGCTCAGGTGTGGTGGTCCGGCTTCATCTGGAATGCTTGGAGCAGATCTTCCATCCTCTCGCCTCCCGAACTGTTGATAAACTGCTGAATTAGCGGTTTGAGTTCTGTGTTTGTGGATGAAACCTCTCTGCTTGAGAAACCGCAAGAGCAAGTCAGAGACTAGACCATAGACCTGTAGTGTTTCTGGTTCAGCACCTGTGAACAGAACGTTGGAAGTTGGGGATTGTGCCAGTCTCAACAAATTGCTTGTGAGAGGTGCCGTTGCTGAAAGCCGGCCCTGGGGTGTGTGTTCCTCTCGTGGCCTTTAGTGTGTTTCCTGTACAAATTTGCTTGCTTCTCCCTGTTTCCCTTTGGAATGAGTTCGCAAGTGTGAGTGGCACTTTGTTCACGTCTGTGCACTAAGCCTGGTGTTGGCGCCTGCGCGTCCTGAGTTCCGCTGAGTAGTGAGCTCGTGACTTGCGGATGGAGGAGTCGGTGCAGAGGCTGGACTCTGTATCCAGATTACCAACACGGAAGTGTTCGGATGTGGGTCCTTTTCAGCATGAGACACGGTGAGTGGTGTGAGTCTGCGCTCCGGGGAGCGGCCCTGGGTCCCGGACTGCAGGCTTTTCCCCTCAGCACGGCAGGGGCTTTGCCTCGGAGCTACTCAGGCCGCAGCCCATGTGTGGGGACGACTTTGTGTCCCCGCCTGGCTCCCTTCGAGTCTGCTTGCTTGCTTGCCGTCTGCTCGGCATCCACACTTGTCTGCACGTGCCGGCCCTGCGGGCCCACGGGCGGGTGGCCCCGCCTCAGCGCCTTCCTCAGACTCCGGTGAGGCCCAGCCCTGCTTGTCTTCTCTTTTTAAATAAAATTCGAGGTGCATCTGTGACATTCTCCCCGTGTGTTCTTAAACATGCTGGCTAGGCCAGTCTGTTCTCATGATTCTTCAGTGTTTCCAAAATCGTTTAATTTTGCTTTAATCTAACTGTTACCTAATTGACTACAGGAAAACATTAATACCTCTATTGTTTGAAAACCACATGAGCACTGAACAGCTAGTCTTCTCTAAACATTAATTTGCTAAGAATTTAGATTAAGTTGGAAAGAGTTTAGAAAGTGTAATGAGAAGGCTGCACACGTTTACTGCAGTGTTTGCAAGGAGTAGTTAACTTTAGGATGAGCTCAGTTAGCTTGATGATTGAATAATCACCAGAACCTTTGTGAAAGGATAGACGTAGGAGCCACTGGCGGGTGTGGCTGTGGCCGCAGCGCCCCTCACTCTGGCTGTTGGCTCTGCGTGTCCCTCTCGCAGCTGGACAAGGACGACATGGTGTACATGGAGGCATACGACCGGCTGCTGGAGTCCTGGCTCACTTTGGTCCAAGACGACAAACATTTTCATAAAGGCTTCTTCACCCAACACGCAGTTCAAGTTTTCAATTCCTACATTCAGTGCCACCTGGCTGCTCCCGACGGCACGAGGAATTTGGTAAGTTTTCAGGCAGATTGTAATTCAGCTTCTGCTTCGCCCTCAGCTCTATTCCGTCTGTCTTGTCCTGTTACATGCTGTCTAACACCAGGACAGCAGTGTGGGCTCCTTGGGAGGATGTGCTGGGAGTAGGTTCCTGTATCCTGGGCATTGCTGGTTGCTGGCGCCCGTCTCTTTGGTTTTCAGTTGCCCATCTGTGTCTCCCCAGTTGACAAGTAACTTGAGTGACTTCTTGTACCCAAAGGACCATGGATCTTAAAGATGTCACATCTTTTCAGGGACAGAAGTTAAAGCCTCTGGTGTGGGAGGGGCTGTAGGTGCGCAGCTGGCTGTGTGGGTGGGTGGCTCCCCTCTTGTTTCCCTTTCGCACGCCCCCTCTTGGTAACTCGGGGCATGGCAGGTGCCAGTCCCCAGTCGGCACTGAGGGCTGGCGCTGTCCTTCCCCTTTCCCCATGCAGTGCGGGGGTGCCTTATAGCTCGAGTCTGTCTTTCTTTCCTCCATAACAGACTGCCAATGGTGTGGCCTCTCGCGAGGAGGAGGAAATAAGTGAGCTTCAGGAGGATGACCGAGACCAGTTTTCGGATCAGCTGGCCAGCGTGGGAATGCTAGGGCGCATTGCTGCTGAGCACTGTGTGCCTCTCCTGACCAGGTACACAAGCCAGGGCCCCTCACGGAGCAAATGCCCCAGCCACAGTCCCCAGGGGGCCACTTAGAGTGTCTACAGACTTCACCCATCCTGCCCCCGTCTCAGTGCCAGGCACCAGTGGATGGGAACACACTCATGGTTCAGCCCTCAGCTTGTGCCCTGGGAGCCCAGGTGTCACAGCATAGATGGCAGACAGATTATTGAAAACATGGTATGAGAAACGATGGACCTCTGTCTGTAAAAACTTGGAATAACCAGTTTACAGACGACTGTGTAAATCTCGACTGTTCGTAAAGCCGTGTCTTACTTGTGTTACGAACGATCAGTCACAGTTCTTAGAGCGCTGTGAGCACGCGTGTCCATGGCAGCCCCTCCTGGGGGGGCGTGCGCGTGCTCCAGCCGCCCCCTGACCCGCTCCCCCTCACCCCCAGCTTGCTAGAGGAGCGAGTGGCGCGGCTGCATGGGCAGCTCCAGCGGCGGCAGCAGCTCCTCGCCTCGGCCACTCCGGGCGCGGCGGACGGCCGGGCGCTCGACGACCTGTACGAAGACATTCACTGGCTTATTTTAGTTACAGGTTGGTTGCTTGTCGCTTTTTAAAATGCTGTTGCTCCCTGAGCACTCTGAGCCTTGAGCAGCTTCGTGTATTAAAAGCAGCCACTCCTGCCTAGTCCTGGCGAAATCTGGCACAGCGGGTGATGCTGCAGGCCCCGGGGCTCCTGTGACTGTCGGCCAGCACGTCCACAGGGGTTCATGGGGATTCAGTGGAGCCCCGAATTACTGCTGCTGCTGGGTGTTATTGTGCTGTGTTGTTGTTATTAATCACCCCCATCTTATACACGAAGAAGTTGAGACGCAGAGACTGGCCCGTGGTCACGCTGCTGTTAACTTTTGGAGCCAGAGTGCAAATCTAGGCAGTCTGACTTCTGTTAGAGTTTATTTCTGTGACCATATTGTCAGTGTTTCTGTGTTTTAAATAATCAGGAAGAAAACCTTGATGGAAAGGCATTCCCAAATATTGACTTTTGATAAAGACGATAGAATTCCTATTGACTTTATGGAATATGTTACTGAAAATTCCTAAAAGGCAGTGGAGTGAAAAGCCTGTCTGTCAGTAGAAATTTTAAAATTGATGACTAGAACATTTGTCCGTTGTTCTTTCCTGTATTTTTGAGAGTTAATTATCTGAGAAATAGAAAGTTTCTTCTCATCAAACTTGAAATTAACATATTGACATTTATAATTTACATCAATTTATATGATGTATATAAATCAAATAAGACTGAAAACATTTATAGTGCAATTTGATAAATGTAGATTGTTAAGTGTTCATTTTCAATTTTTTTTAAACTGAAGGCTACCTCTTAGCTGATGATACTCAGGGAGAGACTCCGCTAATACCTCCAGAAATAATGGAATATTCCATTAAGCATGCATCCGAAGTTGACATTAATACAACACTTCAAATTTTGGGATCTCCAGGAGAAAAGGCTTCTTCCATCCCAGGGCACAACAGAACAGATTCTGTGATTAGGTAATATGAACTCTATAGCTGTGCTCTTGTGCTTGATTCTGTTTTATAAATTCTGAGTTGATGGGTAGATGGCTCGAGTGACAGACACGTTATAAATCTGATAATGAAAGAAGATAAAACTTGGAGAAGCCTTGAAATAAACAAGGATGGCAAGTACTCAGCATATTTAATTAAGCAGGCCACGGGTGAGAGCTGACAGCTGTACCGAGTACCGAGGAGAACACACATAAAGTGACTCTGAATACAGCGAGACTGAGGGGGCCTTCGCTCCAAACCCTCCGAACACGATCCTCGACCGTCACCAGAAAGCTGGGCTGGTGCAGGTGCAGGCGCCTCAGTGAAGTGAAAGCACCAAGAATAGGAAATTCTTAGAAGCCAGGTGAACGTTAACATGTGTTTATTGCTCAGTAAGCTGAGCCTGCTTTTCAGGGGCTTTCCTAATCCCTTATAAAGTAGAAGTGTTTGTCCTGAGTGTGTGGCCCTCGAGAGCCCCGTCAGGTGGTGGGAGCAGCGTGCTCCCGGGAGAGCATTCGCTGTGTCCCCAGAGGAGCAGCCGCACCTCCTTGCCGCATCACGGAGAGTTCAGGAGTCAGGAACCAGGACTGAGTGGCCCCTGAAGGTGGATTTGAGGGCAGCATCTTAGGTCAGCGTCTCCAGCTTTAAATTTAGATTGCAGGCAGAGATGATAATGAAATAACATCGGATGTTGTCAGTGGCAAAATCAGCAACTCAGACAGCATGCTGTCCCCTTCATCCTTTCTACTCTAATGCGAAAAAAACATAGATACCATTTAAACCTATGCAATAGGAAATACGATTTTTTAAAACATTGAGCTCTTGAGCTAATATCAAGGAAATGTTTGGGAATTTATTTCCTTTAGTGTTGCATTCTCTTATTCGAAGTAAAACATCAATGCTGTATGTAGAAGTTCCATTTCTCCCTTTTGGGGTTGCTGTCGGCATTGGATTAAGTGTCTGGAAATCATTGCTTTTGCTTTGATTTGGCTTGTGGTGAATGTAGATTTCGGAGGCAGCTCATTCTGGGGCGCTGTCCTCTTCTGTTCTGTGCCACCGCTCTTGCCTGGGCAGCTCCCTCGCGAGTGTTTTCAGTGCTTGTTCAATTTTTGCCAGTCTTGCCAGTGTGGGAACAAAACATTTTGGGCTCTGAGAGCACAGACTGTGGAGAGTCGAGGTGAGGCTGGAACAACAGCAAAGCGCCACTGTTTTCCTGACTGAGGAACTAGCGTGAAATCAGATGGTACGAGAGAAGCAGTCCTTGTGGACTCAGGAAAAGTGGCTCAGACTCCTTGAAGAGATCATCACTTGTCAAGTAACTCTTGAGTACCTGCAACGTACCAGACGCTGTTCTGGGCACTCGGGTCACATCAGCGAGCAAGTCAGACCAGGCTGCTCTTTGTTGGGGAGAGAGAAGCAGTCAGTGACTCGTGAGCGTCTCAGAAGTGCTGTGGGGAGGACGGGGCAGGGCGAGGGGCTGTTTCTGGTGGTAAGTGGTGTGATCTCTGTGATAAGTGAACTTGTGAGCAGAGACTGGAGGTTGTGGGGGAGGCGGGGAAGGCTGTGGGAAGAGCGTTCTGAGCACAGGCCTCGGTGCTGGCCTGGTCAGTATTGGGCCGGGCGGGGCCTGGGGGGCGGGGTGGAGCTGGAGGGAGACCTGACTCGGTAAAGCCTTAGGTCTGTCGTGTCCTTGGCTTCTGCTCTAAGCAGAGTGGTTGCTGTCGTCAGGTCTTGAGGAGGAAGTTTGTTTTGCTGCATCGAGAGGGAGCTCTCGGCAAAGAAGGAAGCGGGAGGCCAGGTGGGCCAGTTGCAGTTGCCCCAGGGAAGGATGGCGGCCCAGAGCGGAGCCACCACGGTGGAGGCTGCAGGAAGCCGAAGGGTTTGACTCGCTGTGCTGACTTTCCGTTTGTGAAACCCAAAAGTGATCGAGATTCGCTTGGAAAGCATGGGGACGCCTTTAGAGAGTGTGCTGAAGAAATTGGTGTTGGATGGAGGTGTTCATCTTGGGGTATCGACGCTGAAACCTTGTTGATGTCTTCATCAGTTGTTCTTTCGGCTCCCTCAAGCCGGGTCTGAGGGTGCCGTGGCAGTGTGACAGGAGGGACAGCGCGCCTAGGCTCACCTAACCTGTTGAGGGGGGCGGGCAGGAGAAGAGCTTCTTGAAAGAGACGGCATGAACGCTGGTACTTGAGGGACAATGAGGAGTTTGCAGGAGACAGAGGAGGGCAGGGGGTGTTCCAGAAGTGACGGATCGCACTGGCAGAGACCTGGAGGGAGAGCACGGCTTAAAGCTAGAGAAAGTTTGGTGTGGCTGGCGTTTCGGCCTGGAGGGGAGAGGTGTTGGGTGAAGATGGAGAAGGGGGCGGGCACTGGGCATGGGGCTCAGGTCGGAAGATGGATGTGACGCAGGGTCGGGACCTGATTGGGTTGTTTTGAGGCATGAGAATCTGGAAGGTAGGTTTACAGGGTGACCAGCTGGGAAGCATGTCAGTAGTGGTTGGGGGGACGGGGAGCAGTGGGGCAGGGGACGGGCTCTAGGACTTTGCTGATTGATGATGGGGGTGGGTGTGGGGAGAAGCGAAAAATCCAGGACCTCATTTACCTGCCTGGGAACGGTCTGCCCCCACGTTACCAGAAGGGCAGCAGCATGCACTTGCTCTGAGCCGCTGGGAGGGGTTGGCAGGCGCATGAGACCCACAGGGCTGCGGAGGGGGCAGCTCCGGGTGGTGCGGCACCGGTAACCAGGACCGTGCTCTGCACTGAGGGAGGGACCCAGGCGAGTTGTCCCTTAGCAGATTATTAGAAATAATTTCTGATGGTAGATCTCCTTGATTTGGGGCATGTAACTTGCAAGAATTTCAAAAAATTGAGGATCTCTGCTTTTTAAAAAATGCCTTCCATTTGTTGATATGAACATGTTTTTCCTCTGTTAAAATGAAAAACAGGAATCAAGTTGTGTTCAGTTGTCTTAGTCTAGCAATAAGTAATATTTTTTATTAGATATAATGGGCGAATTTGCCCCATGAATCTCGTTCAGATATGTAACGTTTATTTTTTCATTGAAGTGTGGTTGATGTTAGTATATATTATGTAAGTTACAGGTGTACAGTATAGTGACTCACAATTTTTGAAGTTTACACTCCATCTCTAGTTATTATCAAATACTGTCTATATTCCCTGTCTTATACCTAAAATTTTCTCTTTAATAAATACTGTGTGTGACAGTTTATTTAAATCTCTGTTACACTCTGCTCAGTTGTGTACTAAGAAGTATTGTAGCAGCTCAATCTAGAAGACATTTTTAATAATCTTATGATCATTGGAAATTTTAGAAGTATGTATTTTAGTATCTAGACATAACTTGTTTCAAGGAAGTGTATGATGTGATTGATAAAATGAGTATAAAAGTTTAATATATTAGGATAGTATTCTATGGGGAAATGAAATTAAGAATTTAAGGAGAAAAAGAAACAGTGTAAAGCTTTCAAGTGTTAAATGTTTATTTTTCAAATGGATGATCATGAGGTATCAGTATTGTGAGTTAAATGCAGCGCACTTTTAAGTGCTTACCGTAATGTATTCAGATTCTGTGAGGCTACCAGTTACATTGTTTAAACTATTCCTATGGGATACTTTGGTACGTCAACTTAAAATGTATTGTGAAGTTGTTGGGGTATTGTTCACACTCTAAAATAATTGTTAAAAATTTGGGTACTGGTGGCATAGGAAGTAAGTGTATAGTCAGAACAGAGGAGCTTCTGGGGTAGAGCCTTGAGAAGCACCAGCTTTAATAAAGGAGGAAGGTCAGAGGAAGAGGCGGGCCCCAGGCTGGGAGGGTTCGGCAGGGGGAGCCCAAGTGGCAAGGGCAGGGAGGAGACTGTCTCGGGAGGCGGGAGGCTGAGTGCTTCTGAGAACCAGGCCGTGAGATTTTGTCACAAGGAGCAGCCTGCGGTTGTCCTGGGAGCAGAGCGCAAAGCAGCTTTCCTGTCTCTGCGCGGACGCTCCTGAAGTGGGGTCATCGTGTGCCCTGTCACAGCAGTCCTTTGCTGCTCTGCCTTTTAGCTGAAGTCGAGCTAAAGGTGCGTCCCTGGTGCTGCCCACGCCACGCCCACAGCAGAGATTTCCTGCCGCTGCGGCCGTGCGGTGTCAGCACCTCGTGGCACGGCAAGCGTCGTGTCGGAAGGACGGCAGGTGCACTTGGGCTGGTAATTTTTCTTGCAACGTTTTTATTTTAAAGTGCCATTAAAAACTAAGTTTGTTAGGAAGTAAATAGGACTACTGATTTAGAGGCAAGGCTCAATATTCAAAACGTTCTGGGTAAGTCAGTTACCAGACCCTACAGCATGAAGTGACCAGTGTCTAAAGACAGAATGGTGCCAGCCTTGGAGTTCAAAGTAGCATTTACTCTGAACTTTGTGTGTGTTTCTCCACTTTGAGTCTGAAAAGTCACTTTAGTCAGTGACGCTGCCTGTGTCACAGCCTCAGCAGAGGGCCCGCCACTTTCTTCCTCCATCTCCTCCCCTCCTTCCTGAATGTCAGCAGTGGGGGCGTTGTCTGCAGTCTTACTGGTGAAAATTTCAGAGTTGAGAAACAGAAAAGGACTTTTAAGAAAAAAATGTGGTTAGAAAACTATTAAGTAGATAAAAGAATAAATGACTTCCTTTTTGCACCTACAGGCTATTATCTGCCATTCTCAGAGTTTCAGAAGTTGAATCTCGAGCAATAAGAGCAGATCTCACTCATCTACTAAGCCCTCAGATGGGCAAAGATATTGTGTGGTTTCTAAAACGCTGGGCAAAGACTTATCTCCTGGTGGATGAGAAACTGTATGATCAGGTCAGAATGTGACACTGTTTACCTTCGTTTTGCATGTATGAGGATGGGGGCTGTAGAAGTGAGCACATTTTTCGTGGTGTTTTCTCATCAGAGTTGTGACTAAGCTGAATGTCGTCCATGTTGGAGAAAACGGGGCGGCATGCTGTTATAACCGTTCTCAAATGGGCACATCATTTGATGCTGCGTATTTTAACCTCTCCTAAGTTACACTTTGTTTTTTGGGAATGGACTGATCTGTGTTCTTTGTGTTTGGTGTAAGTACATCACTGTGTTAATCATACGTGAATAAGTGAAGCCAACAGGAAGATCACGTTGGGAAATGCCTATGGGTTGAGGATGTCCTTTTTGGCCTTTTAGAAATGAGTTCATTTATGAAATCGATGTGCAGTAAGCAGGACTTCAGATTTAGTGCTCATTTCAGTTTGGTCTCTCTGTGGGGTTTTTTTTTCAGCTGATCTTTCCTTCTGACCTTGAACTTGTTCTCTCTCTGAAGATAAGTGTGCCATTCAGTACGGCGTTTGGAGCAGACACAGAGGGCTCTCAGTGGATTGTGGGCTACCTCTTACAGAAGGTCCTCAGCAACCTCTCGGTGTGCAGCAGTGAGCAGGACCTGGCCAGCGACACCGTGCAGCTCCTGGTCACGCTGGTGGAGAGAAGGGAGAGGTGAGCGGAGGGCGTCTCTCAGGTCGTTGGGCAGTCTTTTTGGGCAGCAGGCAGCTGCCTGGTCCCAAGTCCAGGTAGACCCTGCATTTTCAGAGCACTGTGTTTAAAAAAATACGCTGTACTATTGCTACAAATGCGAATAGGGCTCTTCTGTGTTACGACTGACGGCTGCAGTGACTGGGTTTGGCATCAAAGAGTCTGATGAATAACATGTAATTTACTAAACATGGACTTTAGTAATGTACAGCTTTAAAAACACTTTAATATAGAATATTCTTATTTGAATTTTCAGGTTTCCCATTGGTGTTACCCCATTTTAAAGATGAGAAAAACTCATAATTTAATAATTATTTTAATTTAATTTTGCAAAGTAAAATTTTTAGTGCCTTCTACAACAAAGTCTGGAAATGTTTTCAGTTTTCTTGCTACGTAGGAATACTGTTGTCATTGGTGACTGTTTACCCTGAATTCTTACACTTGGCCAGGTGCCGTTCCAGACACTTCGTATCTGGTGTTTGATTTGAGCAGCACACCAGTCTCGGCCACGAGATGCAGGGCTCTTGTTTCTTTATTTTACAGATCAGGAAACTGGTAACTAAGAGAGGCTCATTTTACAGCATCAAACAACTAATGCGATTTGAAATGCAAGCTTATGTGACCCTAAAGTTTGTACCAAGTTTACTGTGCTGCACCTTAAAAACCAGTGAGCCCAGTGACCCTGTGCCTCTGTGTACGCAGGGCAGGTGCAGCGCAGGTCACACACCTCGTGCTTTGTTCTCTCTCCCTGTAGGGCAAACTTAGTGATTCAGTGTGAAAACTGGTGGAACTTAGCTAAGCAGTTTGCAAGCCGAAGTCCCCCTCTGAATTTCCTGTCCAGCCCTGTGCAGAGGACGCTGATGAAGGCCCTCGTCCTGGGTGGGTTCGCACACATGGACACAGAGACCAAGCAGCAGTACTGGACAGAGGTAACAGCCCCTCCTGCTTCGACTGCATCTCCGTGCCACCCGCTAGTTGTCGTGTGTCTGTGGTGCCATAAGATGGTCTGTGGGGATGCACACATTTAGGCACAGCAGGTTGGCGCTTAGCCTTGTCCACGTCTGCTTGTGTGAGGACACGGACGCTGTGGACTGGGCTGAGGGCAGGCACGTCTCCCCGGCTGAGAGCCTGAGCTGGCGCTTGCTTCTCCCAGGAGAAGCAGTGGTGTGTCCCCTCGTCTTGAACGAGGAGGTGCAGGTGAGCCGCTCTGTTAGTTTGCTGCAGCTGCTGTAGCAGATGCTACAGACTTAGTGCTTTAAACCTCAGGAGTTTACCGCCTCATGGTTCTGGGGGCTGGACGTCCAATGCCAGGGTGTGGGCAGGGCTGGTTTCTTCCGGGGCTGTGCCGGGGTCTGGGGCTCTGGCCTGCCCCCGAGCTCTGGTGCTTCGCTGATGTGTGGTTCATCAGCTTGTGCAGGTATCGCCTGATCTCCACCCCCATCGTCACAGGCCGTCCTCCCCGTGTGCACGTGTGTCCACGTTTCCCCTTTTACGGAAACACCTGTCATGTGGGTTAGGGGCCCAGAGGACCTCATCTTAATTTAAACAATTACGTGTGAAACAGCCGTGTTTCCACATAAGGTCGCATTCTGAGGGACTAGGGATTCGGACTTCGACACATTGGTTTTGGGGGGAACGTCGTTCAACCTGTAACAGCCATCGTGGACACAGTGTCTTATATGATAACCTTTCAGTTGTGAACCAAGAGTTACTGGTGTGTGGGGGTTGACAGCCTGCGGTCCCTGTGGCTGGAGCTCAGTGTCTGAGGAGGGACCCAGTGACAGAAGCAGGCAGTAGTCCGGGACTTCAGAGCAGAAGGAAACCAGCCTGACCGCATGTTTCTAGGTTAAATAATTGTGTTATCATACGTGCAGCTTTAAATAGAGTTAAGATATCACTTCATGAATATGTGTGTTCACTCTTACACCCAGGGCAGGGCTGAGGATCTGAAGTGTGGCCAGTGCGAGAGGAGCAGGAAAGGAAAGAAACAGGCTAGAGCTTCGACCCAGTAGGACAGAGGTTGAAAACCAGCCCACAGACCAGATCTGGCCTGCTGTCTGTTTTTATAAGTAAAGTTTTATTGAAACACAGTCGTGCTCAATCGATTACATCTCCTTCAGGGCTGCTTCTGCACTGCAGTGCAACCGTAATTGGGTATTTGCGGTAGTGTGCCCTGTAAAGTCTAAAACTTACCCCCTGGCCATTTATGAAGTAAATTTGACAGTCCCTACAGTGGAGACTTAATTTTTTAAGTCTTTTTTTGGGGGGAGTGGTAATCAGTTGGAAACAGATGAGGATGGTGGCAGAAATCTGTGAGTGGCACTGAGGAAGTCATGGTCTTCCTTTTTTTCTTTTGAGCTTAAATTACGTGAGGGAGTGAGATGATAGCAAACACACGCTTTTCATAAACTGCCATTTTTTTCAGATGTAATTGACACGTGTCATAGAAGTTTAGGCGCACAGCACGGTGTCTGACTTACAGATACTGTGAACTGATTGCCACAGTAAGTTTGGCTAGCACCCCTCATCTCGTGGATGCCAAAAAAGGTTTTTCTCTTTTGATGGACACTCACCTGTGTTCATTCTGAGTGGGGTGAACAGGCATTCCTGTCCCTGGCCACCCGTTGGTTGACACTTAGGTGCTTCCTTGGCTGTTGTGTTTGGCGCTGCTCTGGGCATAGGGTCGCACGTATCTCTCCAAATGAGTGTTTTCCTTTTCTTCAGATAAACACCCAGAAGTGGATCATATGGTGGCTCTCTTTTCAGTTTTCTCAGGAACCTCCGTAGTGTTTCCCATAGTGGCTGCACCGATTTACTGTCCCGCCCACAGAGCACGGAGGTTTCCCTTTCTCCACGTCCTGCCAGCGCTTGTCGTTTCTTGTCTGTTTGACGACAGCCCTTCTGACAGGTGCGAGGTGGTTTCTCAGAGGGTTGTGATTCGCATTTCCGGGATGGCCAGTGGTGTGAGCGCCTTTCCACGTGTTGTGTGTGACTTCGTGTTTCCCAGAAGTCAGGGGCACCTTCAGGTGGGGCAGGGAGCAACTCATGGTGCAGGTAGTCTTTGCTTTGCCGTTTCTGCCTCCAGCAGTTAAAGCCGTTTTGGAAAGTGAGTGTGTATCCAGGTGAAGAAGCAGAGCACGTGAACTGAGCTTTTGGAAGATTCATGCTTTATGTTCGTAGGTTCTTCAGCCACTTCAGCAGCGATTCCTGAGGGTGATAAATCAGGAGAACTTCCAGCAGCTGTGCCAGCAGGAGGAGGTCAAGCAGGAGATCACGGCCACTCTGGAGGCCCTGTGCGGCATTGCCGAGGCCACCCAGGTTGACAATGTGGCGATCCTTTTTAATTTTTTAATGGACTTCCTTACCAATTGCATTGGATTGATGGAAGTTTATAGAAATACCCCAGAGACCATCAACCTCATAATAGAAGTGTTCGTAGAAGTTGCACATAAGCAGATATGCTACCTTGGAGAGGTAAGGGCTTCTTCCGCTTTCATTCCCTCCATGTGGGAACTCCTTAAAGCTCTGGCAAAGTAGCAGATTCTTGACTTCGCATTTAATGGATGTTATTTGAAATGATGTTTGTATGCCGCCAAAAATTTTTTCAGAAAGACTGTTTTCAGAAGAACTCAGCGTTCAGAGGAGGGTAGATTCCTGCCTTAAAAAGGTTAATGGTAATTTCTTTGGCTAGTGTGTTGCTCAGTCAAACTCATTCAAATGAGGAATATTTGAGAAAACAAGTGGGTTATGGTAGGCAGTTCTACCCATTTCTCTGTGGTGAGCCCTACGATTTAGAACGTTAAGTGGCAGTTTGTCTCTTTGTTCTGTGATTGGGGTGGATGCTTAGACGCACCGAGTTTCACATTCAGGCAGCGAAGATGTCTGTGTGTGTGTGTATGTGTGCTTTCCTGCAGTCCAAAGCTATGAACTTGTATGAAGCCTGCCTCACTTTGCTGCAAGTCTACTCAAAGAATAACCTGGGGCGGCAGAGGATAGACGTCACGGCGGAGGAGGAGCAGTACCAGGACCTGCTCCTCATCATGGAGCTCCTCACCAACCTGCTGTCCAAGGAGTTCATCGACTTCAGCGACACAGGTGACCTGCGCGGCGTGGCCTCGTCGGCTGTTAAGTGGGAGTGCTTTTCCACCCCGTGTTTAGTCCATTTTTCCTCCTTGTTGTGAAAGTAACGTGCTCTGAATAGAAGAACTTCACATAATCCAGAGCCAAATGTAAACTGCACTTTGGTAATCTCCCTTTTGGCTACTTTGCACGGCTTTTTTTGTAACTGTACTCCAAATACGATTTTATATTCTGCCTTTTCATTAATGTATTGTTGGCCTTTCCCTTGTCTTTAAAATTTCCGTAACTTCTTGATGGCTGTGTGGTGACCTGCATGTGGGATTCCACCTGTTTTCCTAGCGCTGGGCATCTGGAGGATTTACAGTTTTGCTACTGCAGTGACGTAGCCGTAACTTCTGTGGACGAATCTCTGTCTGCGTTTCTGATTATATCGTTACTGTGTCCAGTGCTCAGAGGCTCTTACTATATTGCTTTTGAGGATGACTATCACACTGTATTCTCACCGGTGTTTAAATGTTATCGTTCAAGAGTCATTTTTAATCTAACGAATCAGAAGTAGTATTTTTTTTGAAAAATTTGTGTTGCTTGCTTAATGAGTAGAACAAACTTTTTCATTGGGTATATGGTTTTGTTAGATATTTGTTTATAGATTTTGATCCCTTATCTACTTAGGTTTTAGGATTCTTACTAATTTTCTGTGCATTCTTTTTGTGTGTGTGTGTGAGACCCAGTTTTTTAAAATTTTTATTGAGGTATAGTCAGTTTACAATGTTGTGTGGATGTGCTTTCTTTACAGATTAAGGATAATAATCCTTTGCCATATTGGTAGCTTCTTTATTTTTTAACATACTTTTAAAAATAATTTATTTTCTTTTTATTTATTTACTTATTTTAATGGAGGTGCTGGGAATTGAACCCAGGACCTTATGCATGCTAAGCATGAATTCCACCACTGAGCTGTATCCCACCCCCTACCCGTAGCTTTTTTAAAAGCTGTATTTTTATGCAGCACTTAATTTCCATATTTTCCCGCATTCCTTTCCAGTTCAGAACAACCCTACACACCTGTGAGAAAAGTAAACATTACCGTGGAAAGTGCGTAACTCATAGTGTGCCCAGTGTTTCTGTGGGGTCAGTTTTACTTTTCAAAACCACTGCCTAAGCACGAGCGTGCTGCCGTCCTTGTGGGAGAGGAGTGTGAGCGCGGAGTGTCTGCTCCAGGCACCCCGAGACCCTGAGCGGCCCAGGACCACGTCCGGTGTCTGTTGTCAGCCTGCTCGGAGATGCTGCTTGTCCCCTCCTGGGGCGGGACCTGCCCACCTTCCTGCGGGGGGAGGGGAGCTCTGTGGCGCCATTGGCGTCCCAGCTGTGCGACCGCTGGTTTTCCCTTTGCAGACGAGGTGTTCCGAGGGCAGGAGGTGGGGCCGACGGCCGGCAGGCCCGTGTCAGCTGCGGACGTCGTGCTGTACGGGGTGAACCTGATTCTGCCCTTGATGTCCCAGGACCTCCTGAAGGTAACCGAGGGCACGAACATGATGCTGGAGCCGCATGCGCCCGGGTCTGAGGGCCTTTCAGACAAGAACACACCTGATTTAATTGAGGGCTGCCAGTACCTGCTTGTCTGTTAAGTGCGTGTGAAAATAGAACATTTGTGTTACTGTTGCGTGTCCTTCATGCTCGTGTGTGCTGCTCCGTCCACGGGCCTTGCCTAGGCTGCCCTGGAGGCCTCGTTCTCTGACCGCCACCATCAGAGAAGGACGGTTCTGCCAGAAACAGCTCTGGTGTTCGCAGCGCAGGCTCCCTCGTCGCTGTCAGGCGTGTAAAGTGAGCTGCGTGTTTGGGAGTGTTCCTGGGGTCCTTCACTAACGTTGCTCTCAGATCGAGGGGCTGGGCAGCAGCCCCTCCACGTAGAGACGGGATGCTAAGAAACCAGGGCTGGTGCAGGTTTAAGGATTGTACCTTCTGAGTACGTTGTGCCTGGGGCGTTTCCTCACAGTCGGTGTCGAGGGTGCGGGTGGTGAGGCCGCCCTTCCTCCTCCCCGAGTGCCGTGCTGTGCCTGTGCCGTTGGGGTGAGGGGCACGCACAGTGGGGTGAGGCGCAGGACGAGTGCAGAGGCAGTGAGGAGGTGGGGAGGGAGGGAGGCGGGAGCGTTAGGAGTTGGGGCAAGCGCAGGAGAGCCAGGGCACGTGCTTCCTTCCTGAGAAGTGTCTCTGAGAGAGGTTTGGGGAGCCCCTGAGCCAGGGGCTCCTGCAGCAGACAGAGGGTGGCACGTGTAGGAAGCTCTGTGCATTGATTTGCTTTTAGGGTTTTTGGTGTTTATTCATCAGATAAACCACTGAATATTTAGATGTGTATTTTCTTAAGTGAGATTAAACTGAAGGTTTACCTACTTTTACTCAGTTCTCTAGGACTCTGCAGCCAGGAAACAGTTTGGAAGTGTATGGGATTGAGCGCTCTGTCCTGAGCATAATTGTAACAATTTGAGTTACATTCTTGCAGTTTTTCCAGCATGATTGAGGGCAAATAAATACATTTGCAAAGGTGTTTTATTCCCAGATCATTTAATAACTTTAGATTTGGCTGCTTTGTTTCCTTTTTCAAGGTAAACAAAGAATATTATTCCCTTTATTGTAATTTACTTTTACATTTAATTAGGTCTTTATGTTTTCTGTATCTTGTATTTGTTTTAAACAAAATCATTATACTTAGAAGCTTGACAGTTATTACTTTATTCTATTAACGAAAACAAATCAAATATTATCTAACATCTAATTGTTTAATATTTCTTTTTCAGTTTCCCACCCTTTGTAATCAGTACTACAAATTAATCACATTTATCTGTGAGATTTTTCCTGAAAAAATACCACAGCTTCCTGAGGATCTGTTTAAGAGTCTGATGTACTCGCTGGAACTAGGAATGACATCATATCCTTTGAATGAACATTGTGATCACTTGTCACTGGGGAAGAAGAGCTTGCCTGAAGAAACGTTTTTAAAATTTGTATTTTGTGGGTCAGTCTTAACTTCCTTAAAAAGTAGTCTTCTCCATAACTACCCTAATTCTGTGTTTCTTTCATTAATTTGCCTCATCTGGTCCTCTTTCACAGAAGCCAGAGGCATTTGGCCCCAGGTCCCAAAGTCACTCTCTGCTCGGGCCATCATCGGTCGTGTCGCACCCCGGGGCCGAGCAGCTGGCCTCTGCCTGGCCGAGCGCTGCATGGTCAGGGCGCCCGGGGTCCTGCTCTCTCCTGTAGCTCGGGAGAGCTGCACCACGGGGCTCACCTGGCCGTGTGCACTCTGGAAAGGCTCGCCCCTTGCACGGCAGCTCTCGCTTTTACCTTTTGTAAGTGAGGCATATCTGCTCTAGTCTGTTCTTTGACCTTGGCGATCAGAATGAGCTCGGAGGTTTGCCAGCTGTGCCTGGAGGCGTTGACGCCCTTAGCGGAGCAGTGTGCCAAAGCGCAGGAGTCGGACTCGCCGCTGTTCCTGGCCACACGGCACTTCCTCAAGGTGAGGCGTTCGGGGGCGCGTCGTGCGACCGCCTGCCCAGGTAGGTGCGCTCAGTTTCCAGGGTGCCAGTCCTCCAGAGGCACTGACAGCTTCGTGGGAAATATTTCCCCCTGGTCACTGTTTTCTGGAGGCCAGCTTCCCTGGGCACGTCGCTCTCCACTGTTACTTCGTGTCTTGACAGTGTGTGTGGCGAGTATGACAGGGAATTTGGCCGTTGGACTTTCGCGTGGCACAACCAGTAATAGTATCTGTGCGTTAGCCTTGGCTCTTTAGAAGCCGTTTCCTTGACTTTTCGGATTTACTGAATTATTTAACGTGTCTAAGAGCAACTGCACCCTTCTCTTTCCTGTCTGGAGCCAGGCGGGGCTAGGGGCTGTCTGGCCGTCGTGTGTCTTATCTGGGGGTGTCCTTGTGTGCTTTCAGCTGGTTTTTGATATGCTGGTTTTGCAAAAGCACAACACGGAGATGACCACTGCGGCCGGAGAAGCTTTCTACACGTTGGTGTGCTTGCATCAGGTACTGGGCTCGCCTCCCGGGTCCCTTGGCTGGCGCCCGGCGGGGGGCGGTGCATGTGGTGGGGGAGCCGCTGGTGCCTGTGTCCCTAGCGGGTCTGTGCCTGGTTGGTGCCTCCGCTCCGCCCATCCAGGCCGTATTTCTGCCCCGCCGGGCGCTCCCACTCATCATTGTGTGGCTGTCTGGCAAGCTGTTTGATGGTAGTAAGCAGCTGTTCCCTTCTCCACTGTGACAGACCGTCCTTCACGTCCATCGCTGCCCTAGAGCTTGTCCTCACAGACTGTGCTCGGGCCCAGGAATCAGACGTGACAGTGACAGTGATATGGTCTCTGTCCTTGGGGAGCTCACGGCTTTGCAACGGAGACGATGGGGCCCCTGAGGGATCTGCTGTCAGATAGCGTGGGAAACAAGCGTGTTATTTCTTAGCACAGCATGGAAAACAGTGTTGTTTGTTTGGTGGTTTGAGCCTTTGAAGTCTGAAGCGGCCCTGATCGGGGCGCCGGAACCGAGAGAGGCTGTGCCGGGCTCGCCCGTGTGCCCCGCTCCCGAGGGGGCTGT